GTTAGTTCTTCGGTTTCAAGTCCTTCTGCTACAACAACTTATGTTCAACAATTTGCTCCTGCCTTTACTCAAACCTTGACCCTTGAGATGGTTCAACAAATGATCATTTCCGCATTTTCTGCTTTGGGCATCTCAGGTAAAAAATATTTTATGTCTCCCCTCTGGTACTTTGATTCTGGTGCATCTAACCATATGACCAACAATTCCCAACTCCTTGCTAATGCCACCAAATATTTTGGAAATCTCACGATTCATACTGCCGATGGAAATCATTTGCCTATAATAGATATTGGTGATATTTCTTCTTCTCTCACTGATGTCTTAGTCTCTCCTGATCTCACTACTAATCTCATTTCTATTGGTAAATTAATTAATAATAATTGTCGTGTCGAATTCTCAAACTCTGGTTGTCTTGTGCAGGATCAACGATCATGGACGATAATTGTGAAGGGACCTAAAGTTGGACGTCTTTTTCCACTTCATTTACCTTTGTCTTCCAGTCGTGGCTTACCTTTTATTTCTTGTAATTATGCTCATTTAAATTACCATATGTGGCATAAGCGTCTTGGACATCCAAATTAACATATACTTCATACTATGCTTAAATCTAGTTTTCTTGGCAATAAAGATTCTCAACCTTTTCATGTAGATTTTGATTACAGTTCTTGTAAGCTTGGCAAAAGTAAAATTCTACCATTTCCAAAACATAAATCTATTATCGGAAAACCTTTTGATATGATCCATAGTGATGTATGGGAGACAGCCCCTGTTCCTTCTCATGCTAAGTACAAATACTTTGTCACTTTTATTGACGATTATAATCGTTTCACATGAGTCTATTTCTTGCGGTCTAAACATGAAGTATTCTCTACATTCAAATTTTTTTATACTTATGTTCAGACCCAATTTTCTTCCAAAATTAAAATTTTGCGGTCTGATAATGGGGGGAGTATACATCTCATTTATTTCAAGAATTTCTACAATCTAATGGTATCTTATATCAATGGTCTTGTCCTTCCACTCCTCAACAAAATGGAGTAGTTGAACAGAAAAATCGTCATTTACTAGATATTGTTCGTACTCTTTTGTTGGAATCTTCTGTGCCCTTCAGGTTTTGGTGTGAAACGCTATCCACTACGGTTCATCTTATCAATCGTTTGTCATCCCCATCATTAAACAATGATTCTCCTTTCACTCGACTATTTGGTCATCTACCTGATTATTCCACTCTTTGTACCTTTGGTTGTGTATGTTATGTTCATCTTCCTCCCCACGAACGTCATAAACTCACTGCCCAATCTGTTGAATGTGTTTTTCTTGGCTATTCCTCTCAACAAAAAGGTTTTGTATGTTATGATTTATATCTTGATAGAATTCGTATCTCTATAAATGTCATTTTCCAAGAAAATAAATATTATTTTGTCACTCACCATGACTCTCCTCCTTCTCCAATTTTTGTTTTGCCAATGTTTTCTAATTCTTCTGCAGATAAACCTCTCCTAGTGTATCAAAGACGACGTAAGACCATTGGGCCTCCTCAAGATCATTCCTTGGTAGTTGATCATGTACCAGCAGCAGACCCAATACCTTTACATCGCAGTACCCGAGTTCGTAAGCCACCTGAAAAATATAGTTTATCCTTAATAACAACTTTGTCCTCTGTTTCAATTCCTTCATCATATAAGCAGGCAATGGAGCATGAATGTTGGCAGAAGGCTATTGAAGCATAACTCTTAGTACTTAAAGAAAATCAAACATGGGATGTTGTGTCATGTCCTCCCTCTACTAAACCTTTGGGCAGCAAATTTGTATTTTCCATTAAACTACGTTTAGATAGATCAATTGATCGTCACAAAGCTCGGTTGGTTGTGCTAGGAAATAAACAAGAGTATGAACTTGACTATGATGAAACCTTCACATCGGTAACCAAAATGACCATTGTTCACACAATTCTAGCACTAGCTGGCATTGGCGGATCTTCTTGGGAGCTGAGGGGGGCCGTGACCCCCCCAAAGTTTTGTAACTCCCATGTAATTTATGATTTTGCCCCCCCCCCCAAACTTAATGAATATTTAATATATTTACTTGTATATTTACAATTTTATCCTCTCAGTCCCTCCTCAGTTTTGTAACTTTCGTATAATTTATGATTTTGTCTCCCTCAAACTTAATGATCATTTAATATATTTAAGTATATATCTACAATTTTATCCTTTTACTCTTTCATCTTCTTTCTTCCTTTTATATTTATTTATTATTTGTTAATAGTATATTATTTGACCCCCCAAAAATCAATGGTCAAGATCTCCACTGCTAGCTTGCATCTCAATCCTGGCCTTTGTATCAAATGGATGTCAAAAACGCTTACTGTTTGTAGACTAAAACACTCTTTATACCACAAGTATGGTTTAAAAAGTTTTGATCTACACTACTTGGTTTCTCCTTCACCCAAAATCAATATGATTCATCTCTTTTTCTACAAAGGACTTCTAAAGGACTTGTCATACTTCTTGCTTATGTGGATGACATTATGGTGACTGGTTCTGATGAAGAGGTTATTTCTCGACTTCAAACATTGCTGCATTCCACTTTTCACATGAAAGACCTTGGCCGACTCAATTACTTCTTCTTCTTGGGTTTAGAGGTGCATTATTGACGACACTCGAATAGAAGGGAAATAATTTAGGGTTAGGTTTTAAGAATTGATTTGATTGGAAATAGAAAATAGAAAAAATAAAAGATACCGTAGGCGCCACAAATAAGAATATTTGATAAGCTAAGAAGGATCGCCACAAGAATTGGATAATTCTTGATAAGATCAAATGATGCAAGGAAGAACCCTAGCAGAGCAACAACTCACAAAGTGATTCTGAATATTACGTACGTTCATTCTGAATTTTCAAATGTTTAATACAACTTAAGTTTATGAGTTTGTCTCATTGCAGGAAATAAAGATAAATTAAAATCCTAATATCCCAAGCAAAGTTAAGTTACCCAGATGGTTCATTGAAGGCATTATAAGCTTTGGGTCTTGAGTTCAAATCCCCACTGTAGCAAATAAAATAATAATAATTATAAAAACTAAATCTTTTAGTTGGGCCTCCTAGCTCTCCAAACATTCTATGCATGTGATAGGTCTAGACTTTTAATAGTTGGGCCTTTAGCAAATTAGTCACTTTGTATTGCAATGCCTTCTGAGTCTGCCTCTTGTCATAGGTCCACCTAAGTCTTGGATTGGATCTTGGTCTTGATCATTCTCGTTATGGGTTTGGGCCTTTATGTCCACATCAATTATGCACCTACTAGCATATTTGTATGAGAGAATTCTCCAAGAGGGGAACACACAGTTTTACCCACATATTTTCTATAGTTTAACAACTAGCAACTTTATCTTCCAATCATCAAAGCTCTTTCCATCAAACATCAATAGTGCACCTTGAATGATACTCCCATTCCCAGCCATCTTAAATCCGTAAATCCAAGAGCTTCGTCAATCTTGATATCTTCAACTCTTTTTCGATGTTCTCAAGATTGTTCACCATTGAGGAGAATAGTCATGCATTTCACACACTGAGGTTCACCCAAACGCTGACAACAAAGATAAGAAAGTCTTACTTCACTCACAGGACAAACCTTACTCTTTATATTATGTTAATTCCAATGTAACAGTATATTGGTTTATCACACAAAAAGAAGAAAATAGAGAACAAAGAAAAATAACTCAAAGATAGTAGTAGTATTAATTTATGTAATACCTCAACTACTATCTTTTTTTATAAACAAATATACACATATATATAACCATGTATAGAAAAAGTAAAAAAAATAAATAAAACTAACTAACTTTGATTTGACTATTTATTATAATCCTTCTTTATAAGTAGAGTTATTTTAAAAGAAAGAAATAAGACGAAAAATAATTTTCCATTAATTAAAGTTAATCCATACATAATATTATTTATAGAAAAATGTTTTTATTAGTTTCTTTAAAATTTAATTTTTAACTATTAATCTTTAATTTATGAGAAACTTTATTTTTCTTTCATAATAATAATAAAAAAAAGTTATGAAGAAGTTTTCTTTGAACAAGTGTCTATATAGATAAATGCTTTGAAGGAATCAATGGTTGCATTAATAGTTTACATGTAGGTTAAAAAAGACACAATTAAGCATGTAAGGTAACTGCATTGGTATATAGTACACAAAGATACTATGGTTATACATCCTCCTAAAGTATAATAGCCAATAAATTGAAGACACAACATACTCCTGCTCAAAGTATAATTGATGCGTAATAGTATATATATATATATATATATATATATATATATATATATATATATTAATTTATAAAAATATATATAAAAAAATATATATATATATATATATATATATATAAATTTTTCCTCATAGATAATGTAAAAATACATACTCTATCTTATTGTTGAAAATTTTGTTATTTTTTTACTTGTTAAATGATGCAAAGGACTACCTACGTTATCTATTCATTTAAACTTTATATTTTTTTTATCTTAAATATTTTAGAATAATATTGAAATAAATCAAACTGAACTTTTTTTACTATTATACAATGTAAAATTCTATTCAAATTATAAGACAAGTTTTCAAACCTAACTTCACTTGAACTTTTATAATATTAATGTCACACATGAGATTTAAGAACTCCAACAAGTTTTCTGTGTAATGATGATGCATGTTACACCTTGAAAAGAGTACAATGTGGATTGCAAAAAGATTGTAGTAAGAAGATTCAGAGTAAATAAGGTATGTCCAACAAGAAAGTAAAACAAACATCAACTGGCATTGCTGCTGGAATTTGGATGCGGCTGTTGTGTTTCTAATGTGCGCTAAACACTGCAGGTATCATCACCACTTGTGTGCATATTTTTGTAGTAATTTTTACAAACTTGTTATTACAAGATCAATAGTAATATTTTATTTTCATGTTCTCGACCAAATTGATCACAAATTCATAATTCTTAGGCAACTACGGAACTCAAACACTTGTAACTTCTGTTTGACTTCGCACAGCTATTGGAATTTTCAACAGCCAGGCCTTGTGCTCCAAAAGAAAAATACCCATTCATCATTTTTTTATTGAAGGAGCACTGTTTGTAATTTAATAGAAGTGTGTCTTCATCTAATGGTCCGTTAGAGCAAAAGGGTCCCTTTATATCAGTACCCTTTTGTTTCTTGATGGAAGAAAGAGAAGTCACAGATAATTCTTGGAAAGGACTTGGAGTTGAATGAGCAGAACGTGGCTTTACCTGAATTACACCTTGCATCAGACCTGCACTGAATTTCACTCTGGAGGATGAACTTGGAAGAGAAGCCCTCATAGATTGTGTTCTTTTGTTGTTTGGAAGGGAGCATGGTTGCGAGTATCTTTGCCGCAATGGAATAGGAAACTCTTCCAAGTTTCTACTTGAACGCAAAGGATCAAGAGAATCATCTTCTAATTCTGATGCAGTTGCTTTTCTCTCTCTTTTTTTAGGCCACAGGAGACGAAATTTTGAACGCCTTCTAAAAGAATTGGCAGAATTATTACCCTTCTTATTACCTGGGGAATTTTCTGAGTCAGAATTGCTTAGTTCATTTGACCAGGAATGTGATTCCACGCTTGCTTGATCATAATTGGCATCTGATGAATTCTCAATGCCAGTGTACAAGAATATCTCTGCATCTGGTATTCTAAATGAAGTACCAGGACTGCCTCCAATGACATGAGCTTTGTGATGAGTGCAAAGGGCATTTCCTGCTATAGCATTTTGACGATTCGAGACCCCTCCAGCGGAAATTATCATCTTGATTAAAATATCAGAAGATGCTGACTGTGGTCTTTGTTTTAGAAGATCCAAAGGGGTCATCCCATCAGCATCACAAATGTTCAGATCAATTGATGGCACAGACATCAACAATTCCACTAGTTCACATTGAATATTATCAATCACGGATACATGAAGAGCCGTTCTTCCATCGTTGTTCTTAACATTGATGATGTCCTGTAAGTTCACAATCTTTCCCCTTACCAATTGTTTCATTAGCTCGGCATGTTTGTCCAGTCTACGGAAACCGGGACTTCTGAAACCAGCCACTGCCATATGAAGAAAAGTATCTCCATAGTGGTTGGTTAACAATGCTAGTGAGGGGGATGCAAGAATCAGAATCTCCACCACAGCTAAGTGACCCCCGTAAGATGCTACATGTAATGCTGTGTTCCCTTGATCATCTGTTAAGTTTACAACATCAAATGATGCAAGTAGATTTCTCACCACCTGCATCATGAAAATGATCAAGTAAGGGACACTGAAAATGCAGGACGTACACCAAATTTGGACGTATTGAACTTCTGTAGAACTATATAGGATATAATACAGGTATGATGCATATCTAACTTTATAAAAGATGAGAAATATATATTTACAGTTTAGCAAACCCAAATTAACAATTCTCAGACATTACTGAAAATAAAATAAAAATTATAAATCATTGTGTTTGTTATCTTAGATCTTCAGATAAAAGTAATATCAATCACCCTCTTTTTCTTCGGACCATCCTTCAACATACTACCACTTCTCTCTGTTCGGTTAGAACAGTATGTTTCATATCTTATAGTTCAGACACTCCTGAAGGAACCAGATTCACTGTGCTAATCATATTCATTAAAATCCTAGAGTAACAGTATTAAATTGTGTGCAAGCAAGCTGATCAAAGTGCTGTGACTAACAACAAATCTTAGTGCAATAAGATCATTACCATTCTTCAATCAGATTTAAAAATTGACCTCAGTAACATGTTATGACATTCATTAAGATGAAATTCCAATTCTGATGAACTTCAAACTAAGTTTTGTGGAGTAACCAACTTCCTCACCTGAACCTGTCCTCTGGCAGCTGCAGTATGCAAAACAGTGCACCCTTGAGCATCTCTAAACCCCAAAACGCCACAACCCTCTACCAAAAGCTGTTTCAGCATCTCCCAGTTCCCTCCTCTCGCAGCGGCATGAACCGCCCTATTCATCATATCCCTCTCGTAAACCTCTTCCATTTGCGCCGGTGAGAGAGCAGAACGAAGCACAACCTCAAACACCTCACAGTTATTGCTCCTCGCAGCAGCATACAGTATATCAGTGACCCCATACTCTCCTTCTCCGAACACAAGCGCAGGGTTCCTCCCCAACAGTTCCCGGACGAAATCCACGTCACCGGCGGAGGCGGCGGTGTAGAGAAGCCACCCGCCGTAGCCGGCCCGAACGAGAGAGTTGGTTCCTCTTCCCGTCTCGCATTCCAGCATGAGGTTCCAGGCAACCTGCGAGCGACATTTCGCGATGTCCTCGAAGTGTTCCTCGTCGTCCCACACTGTCTCGAGGCGCCGAATTCTGCGGAGGGAAGTGAGTTTAATGAGGAGGTTGGTGTCGAGGTGGAGAAGCTCCACCACCAGATCGTAGTGGCCGTTCGCGGCTGCGCAATCGATCGGAGAAGCGTACCACCACTGTTCTCCGGTGCTCTCCCAGCGAAGAGGCAAGTGTGAAGGAGACATTGCACATTTGCAATTTCACCCTCTTCGAAAGAAATAAACTTGTGCAACACACTAGTATCAAAGTAGATAATGTAACACTTCAGAGTAAGTGGTAGTTTTTTTTTTTTTTAATTCTAATTCAACGTTTTTCGTTGTTTATGTTTCTGAAGGTTGCTAGTGGTGTGAGTGATTGTGTGAAAATTGTTGGTGTGAGATTGATAGTGTGAAGTGTGGAAAAGGGTCGGTGGGGATGGCGTAATTAATTGCAAACATGAACCTAACTACCTTTCTCTGCGGAAGTTGATGGCAAAATATTAAAAAAAGAAAAAGAAAAACAGAGTAAAAACACATGTCACACACTGTACTATAAAACTATGATATTAGATGAACAAGGGTGTGAGTGTGTGTCTCTGAGTGAGTGAGACAGATTTGTGCCAATGGTGCAGAAGAAAAGTTGAAAACAGAGCATAAAAGATTCTCTTACCCATGAGCATATGGTCAGAGAACATTTATTTAATTATGAATATCTGACCCCAGCAACCAATTGTTAACATTAACAAATCTTACTTGTGTGTCTATTGTCTACCCAAAGTTAAAATCTTGATTGCAGACTCTGTTTTAGCATAGTTAATTGTAGCATGCATTAACAGGAAATATAATAGTGTTATTTAATGAATCTTAAACTTTTGATTTGCTGTTAAAATTGACTGCAGTTTAGGTCTGTGTCTATTGACAAATTTTTTTACATGTCATTAACACCAACATGTATTGAAGGTGTCTATTTGTTCTGTCATTTTTAATCATGAAAAACTTTGTCAGTTGTTGCCATGTAGGTATTTACTTGAGCAAGAATTGCTGTAAAAGGTTGTTTCATTCATTGGGGAAATCTCAAGGATTGTGTCACTAGTGAAACAGCAGATATGGTACAAAATTTTAGTTGGGTGCAGAGAGAAAAAGATTGTGCGCACAGACTATTTTGGCAAATCAAATTTTTCATTCATGATTTTGATCTTCGTTATTTGTGTGGCAAAGAATAAAGATCATTGCAGTGTTGAAAGGATAACATTTCCTGGCATACTTCTTCCATTGGTTTAGATTGGGACAAACCCTGCGCTACCGTTTACACTGGTAAACGTGAAAACTATGACTTGAAAAAAATGAAAAGTGAGAAAACAAAGGAGGTTTATTGACTTTTGCTGATACTTGTTTAAATTTTCATTTTAAAGATTTTATTTATTATATTAAATTCATAAATGGTTTTTTTTTTTAAGAAAGTTCATTTAAATTTATATTTATATTTTCGGTATAATTTATTTAAATTAATTTTTATTTGAATTTGAATTTGTATTTGTATTTGTATTTAAAAAAGCAAATAATTTTATCATAATTTAAAAAAAAACTAGTAATATAAAATAATCTATAAATATTTTTTAAACGAGTAATAAGGGGATGATTGAACGGTTAGGGTAATTAATACCCACGTGGCCGATTATTTCTTATCCCGAACTATTTTTCTTATTAAAATGTAACCTTTTCAACAATTAAGGTGAAGGTGAGAGTTATGAATTTCTTTATATTTTAAGCAATAAATAAGCATAAATTTATTTTCATAGTTGTTAATATAAATAATTATTTTTAGTTCTTTAGTCAAATTTAATAATTAAGTTGTAGTTTTTTTACTTATGGTAATGTATCAATAAAAATATTTACTTTCATAAATGAATACTTATGGTAATGTATCAATAAAAATATTTACTTTCATAAATGAAATATTAAAAAGCAACACTTTTTTTTTAAATGTACCAAGAACATTTAAAAAATTAATTAAATTGAAATGGTCCTTTACTGTGAAACTATAGCAAAATTACTATAAATAAATTTTTATTTTAAATTAATTAATGATTTTTGTGACATTGTTATTTTAGGAAATTCCTCCACCTTGGGTATATATTATTTTTCATGAAAGAGTGTAATAACAGAAACAGACTAATAGAAAAATCTTGTAATGTTGTTCACCTGTTTGCCATACTTCAGGGAGTGTAAATTGCAGCTTCAAACAAGTCACAGAATTAAATGCAAGAAAAACTAGCTACACTTTTGGTTGTAATAACCAATGTTAAGTGAGAAAGGAAAAGGAAATTAATCATCTATTTATTCTATCAAAACTGATGATCAACCCTCTCTGTATATATCATATTCAAACATGCACGTGGACACAAACTTTTGTTATTTCTCTCCTTAATTAACCACACTCAGTATCTTGTATAGATCCAAGGATGTCACATCACATAAAAGAAGCTGACTTTCAAAAACTTGTCATATGCAGTTTGAAGGAGAAAAGTTAACTGAAAATAGCTCCATTTAATCACCCTCTTTTTAACTCAAATCAATACCAAATTAATTGGGTTGGGTTTAATTTTATAAGTTAATTTTTGTGTATTCTCAGTTGAGATTTCTCACAATATTTTTAAAATTTTAATGAAAATTTGACTTTTTATCAAAACACTTGGTAAATAGAAAGCGGTTTTCCAAATTAGTTGTCGAAACACTTAAAAAAAAGAATGGTAATGAAAATTGAGAATTATAATATTAATAATAGTTTCGTTGCATTTTAGAGAAGTCACTCATCTTTGCTCTTTTTGGATCAATGTTTGTAATAACAAGTGTGGGGGAAAAACTAAAAAAAAAAAAAAAAAAATTTATGGCGCATTAAAAAGTTATGAATGATTAAACTCTTTCACGTGGTGGGAGGTGATTCTGGCGAAGGAATCGAGGAACAACGTGGGACTCCAATCACACTCACCCATCTCTACATGTTTCTGTTCCTCTGCATTTCTTCGGATAAATCCACATCATGGAATCATCGTATTTATTCGTATTTATCTGTATAAGAACTATAAAATAAAATAAAAAAGTATTATTGAATAAAAATAAACCTCATTTTTTAATAATTTTCAATCCGTTTTAACGAATAAAAAATTTGTTAAAAGATACGTGCGAACATGTCTATCTGTCACGTCTTTAATCAAATGAGGGGGGGCAACATCCATGTGCCACAACCAAATATCATAATATGAATACAACAACAGATCTTAAAACAAATTACACAAGACAAAATCTAGCTTGGCAATTATACAAAAAAGATTGGATTAAATTAACATTATTTGCTTCATAGATTCCAACTCTATCACCATAAATATATTAATGAGAGATAGATCACCCTTATTTTTTATTATTATTATTATTATTCAAAGCTACCCACCTTTTAATTTGACCAAAAAATAAAACTTTTTAGGGTTGCCTGTATTAAGCTACTATATTGAAATATTTAAATTTATATTTACCCAATTAAATATAATTATTATCTTCAGCAATAAGAGGGGCAGAAGAAAACAGGTGTGAATTAAACATTTCTATCTGGCGAATGATTGCTAAGGACAACATAAAGTTAATAAAGTAGTTTTCTAAAATTATAAACAACATTTTGTGAATATATAAGTATTATCGTTTTAGGTTTAATTTTGTTTTTTAGTGTTCATTCGGCCATTTTCTTTATTTTTTGTTTCCATTCACAAAAATAAAAATGTTCATTTTCCATAGCATGAGAGTTGGGCTTATTTCTGCCTTGATTTTGTACTTTGGGTTTTAATATATGGGCCTCCCAGTCTCAAAGCGAACCTCTCTAAGCCGAATCCGTGTGGCCCAACTAAATTTTAGCGCTCTCCTATAAAGGAAACATTGTTAGATGAAGCATTCTAAAATGAAACATGATAAAATTTGTTTCAGTCTGGTTTGGCTTTTCCCCTTCGTCGTAATTAAATTAAATATCATTTTATAAGTGATCTAAAATGTATTTTTTTTAAAATAAATTTTATATTAAATGTTTTACAATATATTTCAATATATTAAATTTGAAATGTATTTTTATATTAATCTTTTTAAAAACACATTTTAATATACTCAAAAATATATTTTCAGATAAAATATTTTAAAATATCCCAATATATATTTCAAAACATTATTTTGAATTAACTTTTTCAAAATTTAAATTTATTTTCATAAATTAGATTAAACAATCTGGGTCTATACTGTTCATATATATTTCATATGTAGTATTAATTATTACTTTCATTAAATTGTTAAGAAAAAAATTAAAATAAAGATAATAGTAAAAAAAATCAAAGAGATACAGAAATTATACACAAATAACAAAAAACCCAAATAAAAAAATTAAAATAAAAAACAAATAGAAGAAAAAGAAAAAATTATAATAAAAAATAAATTTGTAAAAAATATATTTTAAATATTTAATTTGGATATCGAGATTAGGATAGGGTACATGAAGCAACAGCCGTTGTTGGGCTTGGGCCCTTTTCAATGAGCCACAAACAGGGTTAAAGTTACAGATCTTAGCAAATTGCTTAGAAATAAATAAACCATTAATCGTGTACTGGATTAACCATTATTTTGGTTTTCCACAAAATAGAAAATACTAATTTAAATGATTATGATGACGAATATGCCTAATGTTAACAATATTAAATATGAAAACAAAAGAGACATGGAAAACAAAATGTTGGTTCTATTTTAGATTATTATGATGACGAAACACAAGAGTGAACCGTTCTACTAACTTCAAAAATGTAAATACAAATGCTGTGAGCTGTCACTGTCTCACAATGATAACATTCACAGCAACACAAGTCTCTTTTTATTCCGAATTCACACTAAAAACTCAATTAAAATTTAGAACGGTGTAACGATGATATCCAAGCTCAGCCTCAATTCTTAAGCTGCAATGTGGACAATCAAATCGACCACACGGGTACTGCAAAAAAGAAAAAAAAATGGTCCTCGTTACAAAGGTTCAAAAAAACATGTTTCCTCGTACTTGTGTTCCAGGAGCGACATGGTAAGAACCATTACCTGTAACCCCATTCGTTGTCGTACCACGAAACAAGCTTTGCAAAGTTCTCATTCAAAGAAATTCCGGCCTTGGCGTCAAATATGCTAGACCTGTACATGAAATTAACATTCACCAATCAACATAGAAAGTAAATAGATTCAGACCAGAAAAACTGATCACGATAGTGTATCATCTTTCACCACCTACGATTACAGAAAACAAATCATTGCTTCAAAACACAACTTCACCTGCTATCACCAACAAAATCAGTAGACACAACATCATCTTCAGTGTAACCCAAAATACCCTTCAAGTTGCCCTCTGATTCCTCCCTGGAATTTCAACACAAACAGTTGTTGGGTCAATAGAAAAAAAAGCATGATTGAAACCAAATGAAAAGGTTTTCAAAACCTCAAAACTTACTTGATAGCAGCCTTGATTTGCTCGTAGGTTGCTGGCTTTTCTAGTCTAACAGTGAGATCAACAACTGAAACATCAGCAGTGGGAACTCTGAAGGACATTCCAGTCAATTTGCCATTCAGTGCTGGAAGAACTTTTCCTACAGCCTGTTTATCCCAATTCATCATCATTCAACAAAGAACAAAAAAGCTTAGGAATAAAATTAACATCATATTAGATAAAATAATAATTGATACCTTGGCAGCTCCAGTGCTGCTGGGAATAATATTGAAGGAAGCAGCTCTTCCACCCCTCCAATCCTTGTTTGATGGACCATCAACAGTCTTCTGAGTAGCTGAATCATCACCAAAAGTAGATGATAATGAATATAATCTTCGTCTTAACTTGAAAATATCATAGATTAATTCAATAAGGTTAAAAATATAGGTTATTGCCGAACCTGTGATGGCGTGAACAGTGGTCATGAGACCCTCAACAATTCCAAATCGGTCATTGATAACCTATGCACGATTAGAATTAATAATTAACAAACACACAGACAAATATAAAATACAGAAAAAAAGAAGCACCAAGAAATATAAAATCACAAAGGCTATCCAACAAAAAACCTTGGCGAGGGGAGCAAGGCAATTGGTAGTGCAGCTAGCATTGGAAACAATGGTCTGCCCTTTGTATTCTTTCTCGTTAACACCAACAACAAACATGGGTGCATCTTTGCTTGGAGCAGAAATTACAACCTTTTTGGCACCACCCTGATCAAGACCAAATTCCAAATCACACTCATTTCAAACTACTCAATAATCCTCGTAGATATGTATTATTTATTACAAGGCAAATAGTATTCAAGAGAAAAATCAAAAGATCTCAAAATCAAATAACAAGGGAAAGATTTTGGGGATCAGAAATCAGAGTGAACCTTCAAGTGAGCAGCAGCTTTCTGCTCGTCAGTGAATACACCAGTTGACTCAACAATATAATCAGCACCAGCCTCACCCCATGGAATATCCTCGGGGTTCCTGAGGCAACAACATCAAAGAATTAGGTAACAACTAAAGAAAGATACCTTAAGTGCTAGTAATTACAATAAAAGATCATTGATTTTGTTAAACACAAGAAAAAAGCATGAGTTACCTGATACCAAAAACTGTCACAGGCTTCTGACCAAAGAGAAGGGTGTTAGAGTCCTTCACCTTGACATCAAAATGCTTCCACTGGCCATGAACGGTGTCATACTTGAACATATATGTCTGCCAGATTAATCAAAGTTCAAAAATTTAAACAACATAGATTGTCAGCAAAAGCAACTACTCTCACGTGCAATATTGTGATTTCTCTTAAAAGGACACTAGAGTATAACAAATACGTTTACCATGTAATCAGTGTTGATGAAAGGATCGTTGATAGCAACGAGTTCAACATCGTTCCTTTGAAGGGCAACCCTGGCCACCAAACGACCAATCCTTCCGAATCCTACATACACAGAATTCATATGCTTAATTTAAAAAAAAATGAGAAAATAAAAATCCAAGTACAAAATAAAAAGATCAAGCAGAAAACGTCAAATGAAACAAAACCAATTACCGTTGATACCAATCCTAATCTTCTTGTCTGATGCTGCTCAACAGAAAAATAAGAAGAAAGTTAAAAACAATACATTATTAAGAGGGGTTAAAGAAAACATACAAGAAGCTGAGAAAGAAGAATAGACTAGAGTGATTACCCATGAGAGTGTTTGAGTTAGAATGAGATTTGAAAGGAGAGAGAAAGTTATTAGAGAGTGATTTGGTGCTGAAAAACAGGGGTTAAGGAGAGCTATTTAAGGGGTTCTGTCCGAAGAAGACAATCTGTCATGGGCACGTGAGGGCACGTGAGGGACGTGACCGTTTTGCTTGGGGGGAAAGAAAAAAGGTAACTTGTAGCCGCTGATTCAATTGCGTTGAAAATGAAAACCAAGGCTTGCCGCTGGTTCCTCGTGACGGTTAAACCTTGGGTCACACTAGCATCTAGAATTCTCTTATATCACACTTTGCCTAATTTTGGTTCTTGGTAATAATTATGCTTGAAATTAAAATATATTTAACTTTTTTATCAAATATTCACTGTTTAAATTAAAAGATATTGAAATTGAATAATCATATAGTGTAATGCTTAAAATAATAATGCAGTTTATTTGTGGTTTGATGTATTTTTTTTATATGTTTTTTGAGAGTTTATTTGAGATCTTAAACACAACATTTTGTATAAGATTTTTGAAAGAAAATATTCAGCATAGATAATAAGTTTTTTTTTTCTAGATGAACTATGAAAATCAACATAATTTGTTCCATCATTTCATAATTTTTCATTTTTTAACTATTCACAATTAAAAAAACTATTTTTATGTAGAAACATCTTCTTCATCACTATTACGAGATTTAGTAAAAAAAAAAACTAATAATAATATTGTGTTTAACATCTTAAACGAAAATCAAACACTAAAATATCGTATCCTATCGTGTAATAAAAAGGCTAAAATAAATTAGTGTAAAATTTTAAATTAAATATTTCACTAAAGTATGTGCTATCTATTATCAATACTATAAATAGAATTAAAGAATATTCGAATTTTGAGCTGTTTCTATTGGAATTTTGAGCTGTTAAACTTAGGATGATAGTTAAGGTTCATTTTTAACCATACGATACTTTTAACAACGATGCTTTTATGATTCAAACCGTAATTAACGTTGTGAATCATATTCGTTAAAAACTGCAGTTAATTTGATCTACCGTCAAATAGAATCTTATAAGGTTTTAAAGTTTGCCTAAAAAGAAAGGTATAAAAGTCGATTATTTAAATATTTAATATTTATAATTACAGGGTAAAGGAGGAAATAAATAAATAAATACTTAAAATAAGTGCAGATTCTAGATTGTTCTTTGACAATTCCAACGTGCATAGAGAAAGAAACAATTTAAATTGACAAAAATACAAGACATTGACATAATCAATGTTACTAGAGCAAAACCTGTTCCAGTTTAGTTTGAATATTTTTTATTTATTTTAACCTTGAAATTTATTGAAATGAAATTAACTCTTGTTAGATTAGTCGTGTCTAATATACTATTTCTTTGTCGATGTATTTCAACTAATTAAAAATATATATCGAAAAAAATTTATAATAATAAAGTACAGTTGCCTAAAATAATATATTAGTTAGCATTAAACTTGATAAATTATTCCATCTAAATTTATAATAGACTCGACATAATTAAAAATTTAAACTCAATAACTTAAAGACCTCAACTATAGGAATTTTATAGTTTTAAATATTCAATTGAATTTCAATAAAAATATATATATATATATATATATATATATATATATATATATATATATATATATATATATATTATTTTACATTACCAACTTATCGCTCGAACGTCATTTTCATCGAAACACAATTTACAACTCAAATAATAAATTATTTACGCTATCACTATTTTGATTAAACAATCACCATACAAACTATTTTATACTCAAATTAGAAATAAATAACTATTAAAAATATTAATTATTATTTGAATTTTTCTTCCACTTTGCATTCACTTGTATAGTTGACTAATTTCCATTCTATTATATTCACCAAATCTATGTCATGGTGTTGTGCATTGAAACGGTGAAGCATGAGCGTGATGCTTGACATCAATCAATGAATAATCATATGAAAGCATGCAACATGAACTCACTGGTAAAACCCTAAATTTTATTTGAAACATTGTGCAGGGAACATAGAACATAAATAAATATTGGTCGACAAATACAAATTTTCTAGGACAAACATAAAGTATAAAGCAAAGTCTAACAAGGATCTTCTTTATAACAATTTTCCATTCGTGGTGTGCATTTTAGATCGCAAAATATTTGACAACTGTGTTGTGATCAAAATTACTCTGTGAATTATGTGATGTGGGTTACCAAGTTCAAGAAATCTAGAAAGTTCTGGTAAAAGTTGAAAAAGAAAAATAGAACATCCAGAACGCCCAAATCGAAGGATATTTTAGCAAAATTAAAAAAATCAATGAAACTAGAAAAATTAAAAAAATCAATGAAATTTTGAAAAAACAATGGCGTCGCCCGGACTTGAACCGGAGACCTTCAGTGTGTTAGACTGACGTGATAACCAACTACACCACGACACCAACTTAATTTACGAATTAGTTTAGCTTTTTAATTTTAATAAACTGATAATTGTTTTTGAACCACTATTTGATCTTCTGCTTTTCGCTAGTACATGCCCCAAACTCGGAATTTTTTTTATGATATTATATTAATATTATAAAAAAGTCGTGACTGAATATTTATCATTTTAGTCTTAAATAAACCATTTTGATAGAAAAAAATTACATTCATATCAAATAAAAGTTTCTAGTACTACTTACTCACAACAAAATCATCACAATAGAAACTGAGTTTGATTTTTATATAATTTAAGTATAAAATATTTATATCATCAATTAATTAGAATTTATGATGAGTATTTTATTTAGAGTAATTATTATAAAACTAGTAAAACTATATTATAATAATTTGTTATTAAATGATAATATAAATTATTTTATATGATTATAAACTATTTTTTCTTTAAGAACATAAAAAAATCAAATAAATACTTCAATATATTTTTGGTTTCTCTATTCTGTTGAAAATGTACTTTTGGTCTCCTCGTTTCAAAATAAAATATTTGATCTAATTTGATAAATTTTTTAATTTAGTCTAAATTTATTTATTTTATTTTTCATAATTTAGATAATAAAAATATCATTATGTAATATCTCAAATGGTTATAATAATTGGAGAAATAAATTTTATTTGTACTAATATTTTAAAATATATTTTATTTAATTTATATTTTAGGATCAATTATTTAAAATTAAAAGATTTATTTTTAAATAATATTACTTAGAACTCACAATTTTTTTCACCAGTATACATCCTAACTTCATGCTAATATTATATTAAAGTGACATGGATTAATAAATTTTATTTATATGTTTGGTTATCCATGTTTAAAAGTTCTCTTACTTGTCTTCTGCTTATATTTCCTACTATTATATCCTTTTCTGAAAAATGGTTAGGATCTGATATCATTTCGGACAAAGATCCCTTCTTATTCAGACGATATGAATCTCTTATAGTGTCATCTCTCTCGGCTAAAAGCCACTCAAGTTCATATTTTATATAAGAAGAGTGTTCTGCGGTAAAATAGTTTTAAGGATCGGAAGCTTTCTGATACACAATATCATCATAAGAGGCAAGTATAGAGCATACTTACATCTAAGTTGAAAATGATACTAAGAACGATAAGCTTCAAGTTTTCAGAGAAGAGAAAACTTAGAGAGAAAATATTTTTAGAAATAGAACTTGTATTGATCTTTGTTGGTTTCATTCTGTCTTACAACATTACAAGTCCTTCCTATTTATAGGTAAACCACACAAGCGGAATTCAAACTTACGCTAAACTAAAATGAACTTCGGATCCGAAATATCATACAAAGTGGTATCGGAAGATAAGATGATGACCTTACAAAAAGACAAGACAAGATAAGATGTTACAAGATATCATAAGATAAGATATGATAAGATACCATATCCCATCAAATAAAGTAAAGTTGATTCAGTCTCATCTTCATTAACACGTTTGAGAAAATCGTAATAGACACGTGTAAAGATAAGAGAATCGTGCTTGAGTAGCATGTCATAATGACAACCATTAACTAAAATTTTTACTTTAGTCAGATATGGTGGAGCCAGAATGATGCATCTACTGAGATACATTTCTTTGTGCACCATCATTTCATCCATCAATTTTTCATTATAATATCCACTAAGTCTTCAACCTTTTCAAATTCTTCTTCGGGTAAGTAGATCTCAGTCATTGATTTGAAGAACTTTATTTGTTGAGATCCATCGTCTTTTGGGACTATCCTATTCAGAGGATAAACACTAAACGGTCTTTGGGATGAGCTGAAGATGTTGGGGTCCACTGGCTTGTGATGGTAATTGTTAACTTCGCAGAGGTGTCGCGCTAGTTGTGCCCGGTAACTTTCATCAAGTGGATAAGTCTCAAAGCTGCCCCAGATGTATGCTTCATTTCTTGACTATAGTTGACCTGTTAGATTTAGGAAGTATGGACGATGGATAATGAAGATCGTGGTTAGATCTTTGAGAGATCTTTAAGTAACTCCCCCCTTTGCTTCTGACAGTCTAAAATCTTCTTGAGTTCTTGTCTCCACCAAGATAGTGGTGAGAACCACTCAAGTAAAGTCCAGAAGTAGAACTTATCCTTGTAAGGATCTGTCAAGATTATATAGGTTGTCTGTGTTTTTAATGTGATAGGAATGAAGTACTGAATAGTGTTGCACGATATGGTCTAAAGAGTGGGTTCACAGAAATCCCAACGCAAGTCACAAAATAATTCAGAAATTCCCCCGAAAGGAATATCAGGGTTAAAGATGGAGGCTGAGATGATTTTGTATTTCATAGTTTCATGTAGAAAGTAGAAAATAACAAGTGTTTGCATAGTGGAGGATATTAGCTGGTATAATTGGGTTCAATCCGGGAGGATAAACTTTGACAATTTTGGCTTTGTTAGAGAGAGGTTTGACCATAAAGATAAAGGAAAAACTATATGTGTCAGAAATTAATTGGATAGTCTTCTGGGGTATGGACAAAAAGTCAGGGACT